TTCACAAGTGTGCCCACAACCTTATCACCCGTCGATTCTAGATTCTGTCATGTTGAAAATCAGTATTAGCCATTACATGGGGTTTTGCCATTAGTAACACTGTTCGTGATCTGTTTCAGAAGCCAAAGTGCTCAGTAATTGAAGTGTAAGTGTACAAATTCAATTTTACCTACCAGGGTAGAGCAAAGAATTTTAGTCAGTTTTTCTTGCCAGACTATCCTGCCTTTTGTTGATAATCAGTTCATAGGATTTCTGTTTCCAAAGATACTTTATAGCCTGCATTTTACTTCTCACAGTGCCTTATTTAACCCTAATTTGTAATTGTACAAATACACAGTGCTTTGTTTTGTTTTGCTTTTGCAAAGAAAATAAAAATGTCAGTGCCAGCAATCAAAAAAATGAAATGAAGAAAGCAATTATATTACAATGGCATCAAAAACAAAGTATTTAGGAATAAATTTAACAAAAGAAATATCGAACTAGTACTCTAAAACTCAAAATGAGGCTTATTCAGGGGGCTCTTTGAATAAAGGTGCCTGCAGCAGACCCAGGACTTAAGTTTGTCCCTAGGGCTTATGTGGTGAAAAGAAGGAGCCAGCTTTTGCAAGGTTGTCATCTGATTTCTCCTCACAAGCCTACATGTGTACATGTACACACAAAATAAATATGTAATAAATTCAAAATGTTAAAATATATAAAAATGGAAATATATCCAATTCATCTATTGGAAAACAATATTAAGATAACTTTTCAAATTGAATAACATAGCCAGTAAGACCCAGATACCTATTTTTATAGAAATTTAACAAGCTGATCCTCAAATTCTTAATGAATACATGGGTCCCAGTTTTTATAGTAAATGATTTTTATAATTTTTATAGAAATGATTTTTATAGTACTCAGACTTGCTGATTTCTGACTCTGATGATCACAGTGTGCCTCTGGCATAAGGCTTGGTTTCTAAATGACCACAGAACTCCATGGTCTGTGGGGCTCTGAGTGCTGTAAGTTACATCACCTAGTATCTTCTTGCCCCCTTTTCATCAGTTCCTTCAATGGTCTGAATGGAGAAAGAAAAGCCATTTATGTGCCTGTGGATCGGAGACCACTTGGTTGTCTGACAAACTTAGATTTCTTGTACACTCAGGAAAAACTCTGATTTTATGACTCAGTTGGCCTTTCCTCTTGGTGCAGTTGTAGAAACAGTCTCTTCTTGCTCTGTTTTTTATACAGATTGGAGCTAACATGACGCCTGCTCTGTAGAAGTGAGCTTATTTTTTTTTTTAATACTTGTGTATGCCAAGCATCTACCACATCTTTATATGTCTGTGTATGAGGTGGAGGTATTATTATTCCCATGTTTTTAGATATAAGACAGGATTTAGTAAAGAAAATACAGAGGCACAAGAATAATGTCTAAATTACCTTCTCTTTTCTTCCCTCTCAATAATTTGATTAAATCTGTTTTACACTTCTCCATCTTTGACATTATACATTCTCCTCCTTCCCTCTGATGATGATAGTGATGATGACAGCAGTGGAGGACATACAGTAAAGAGGAGTACTTGAAGGGCTTAACTGCACTTTTGGTTCTGGACCCTCCAAGACTTGCTGGCACTGTGACTTTGCATCTTTCCTTTTTCTGTTGCTTCCGTTGTGGACAATTAATAGCTTTAAGGGGTTTTTTAGTTTTATTTTTAATGAGATAGCAGTTCATTATTATTCTTTCATAGCCTTAGGTAGCTCTTTTTTTTTTAACTTGATTTTTTTATTGGATATTTTATTTATTTACAATACAGATGTCATCCCCTTTCCCCATTTGCCCTCCCTAGAACCCCCTATCCTATACCTCTTCTTCCTTTATGCTTTTATACCATTTTGATTACATGCATGTATTAAGGTCAGTTCTAGGTTGAGGGTCTAGCAATACAATAGATGCAAATAGTCAAGGAACAAGCAATATAATAAACACAAATAGTCAAAGAAAAAGCAAGGCATTAAACCCAATTACATGAACACTCCCGTGATCACTGTTTCTAAAGGCTTATCATGATGACCAAAGTATCTGAGCCTACTTCCCGGTCCTAGCCCAAGGTCATTTTCATGTCTGAAGCCTACTTCCTTGTTCTAGCCTAAAATTTAGGTTCCTGTCTGAAATTGCTTCTTTGTTCTAGCCTAATATTTAGATTCCTGCCTGAGATTACTTCTTTGTTGTAGCCTAAGATTTAGATTCCTACCTGAAATTACTTCTTCGTTCTAGCCAATGTCATATTCCTGCCAAGCAGCCTATTTCCTTGTCCTTGGCTCATGTCAGCTTCTTGCCAAGCAGCCCCAAAGGCTCTCCACCTCTCCCCCTTTTTTATGTCATTAACAAGACTGAGCCTGTTGTAGGTCATTCTAACAAGAATGCCTTCCTTACCTGTCATAGAATATGCATTATCAAAAGCAATGCACTTATGTCTTAGGTTGGTAAGGCTCTGTGCAGAATCTTACCTGTCCTTGGCTTGCCAGCCTGTTAAATTAATAACTCTGTCTGGGGGTCCATTATCAGTTTCAAGTCATGTACTTTGGCTGCCAGCCTGTTGATGTAGTTAGAGACAAGCTTTAACACGATGGGCAGGAATAAAAGTATTCCCAGGACAATAAGGGCTAGCCTGATCAAGCTATATATGCCATTCCTGAAGTTTGACCAAAATGGAAATACTGACTTCAGGCCATGGATAATTTTATCGACATTATCTGCAGCATCAAAGCTCAATAGAGCAGCATTCTTTAAATTCATAATTTCACTATGCAAAATTAACACACCCAGAGAGGTGTTAGGATTATACACAGACCACATGAAGCTCAAGAAGAAGAAGGAAGATCAAAGTGTGGGTCCTTCGATCCTTCTTAGAAGGAGCATCAAAATACTCAACCAGAGCTCCCAGGGACTAAACCTCCAGCCTGGGAACACAAAGGGAGGGACTCCACTTGTATAGGTAGTCAAGGATGGCCTTCTTAGGCATCAGTGGAATAGTAGGGCCTTGGTCCCTGAAAGTTTGGATTCCCTAGTATTGGGGAATTCAAGAGCAGGGAGGTGGGAATGGGTAGATGGTGGGGGCATACCCTCATAGACATAGGAGGAGGGGGGTGAGATAAGGGGTTTTGGGGGGAATGGGAGAGGGGATAACATTGAAAGGTAAATAAATAAAATATCCAATAAAAAAAACAGATAATGGGTCTGGCAATTGTAGTCAAGCAGTCAAGACTTTTTGTCAACAGTTTATTACGGGGATTTTGTATAATCCTCAAGGACAAAGTATTGTGGAAGAGGCCTATGGAATTTTAAAAAGATTGGGGGGACACACTGTTGCTGAGACAAAAAATGATGCTGACCTGTAAGCTTGCTGAATGCCCTGACAAGGGTGACTTGGGAGCTGTATTGGACATACATTCCTGACCCACCTTTGTTTGACTATATCCCAGATGGAACAAGCCGCCTTGCCTCAAGTTTTTAGACCTTGTGGGATAGAGAATCAAAAAGAAATTATAATGTCTCTTGTATTCTTCTTAAAGGCGACCAGCTATTAGGACTCAAATCATGTGCTAGTCTAGAAATTAATTCAATATTGGAAATAACAGTCTACTTTTGGAAGACTGGATCTGGACATTGTCAGAGTCATATTTGGAAGTTAGCTGTAGCTCACTATGATGTTACAATAGCAAAAGATAAAGTTGGGACAGGATCTGCATTTCAAACAAGGATTAGTGCATGTTTTAAGGCTCTTTTAATTGTCAAACTAAAATTGGTATTGTCTCTTCTACAGTGTTTATTGTAGTTGCACTGACTGTATAATTTCCAATTGTGTTAGTATGTTGAAACCTGGCATGTCTGCTACAGGGGGTCTATCAACTAGCTTCCGTCTTGGAAAACCCTGATTCTCTGAAAAAAGCTTGAAAGGGCTGGAAGAAGTGAGTTAGGCTTTAAGTAGAAGCAAGAGGGTAGCAGGCTTGATTATTGCTGGCATAGCAGCTTTAATTTCATTAATTGCTAGCACCACTGCTTCTGCAATAGCATTGATACAAGGAGTTAAGACAACTATTTTTGTTAACCATCTAGCAAAAAAAAAAAAATGTTACTAATGTATTGAGTATACAAAAGGATTTATATAGGTATCTGGAACAATGGATGATGCTCTATAACCCATTCAAATTATCTGAAGGAGGTTCAGGGTTCAAGAGTTAGGAGCCATTCCAAGTGTCATGACAAATATCATTAGAATAGTGTTACTTTTGAAATTCACAATGATTGTCATTATAATTAGAAAAAAGTTTGAAGACACCTGTAGGATGTTTGGCATAATCCTTAGGTATCCTTATCTTTTACTAGGGACCTTGAGTGTAACTGCTTATGCTACTTATGTTTGTCCTAACAAATTCCTTTGTAAGCTTTCTCCTCACCTTTTAATACACAGTAAAAGCTGAACTAAAAGATTTTCACTCTTAAAACTTTGTTTGTTTTGTTCACTTCCAGAAAAGAAATTATGAGGTGAGCCCTGAGCCTTATTAATGATCTCAGTTAAAACAAATGTGAATTCATCTCTTCAGCTGTTGTCTGAAATCCTGTTTCCAGGATGTGCCATTTGTAATTCATTAACCCTTCCATCCTTCCTTGCTTTTTTCCTCCAGCCATCCCTGGACACCACGCTCCAAGGCCTTGCATATGCTAGACAAGTGCTGTATCACAGAGCTATGTCCACACCTCCCTATTAAGTCTATATTCTCACTTGGTAATTGATGAGATTTTAACACCTTTTCCAACATTCCACATGTATGATCATAAGTAAGTGGACCTGGCCAGTATTATATTCATGAACACCACTAATACAGAGACCATGCCAAAAGTTGAGGACTAGGAACATGGAGATGGGAGCAGGATTGTTTATACATGGAAGGGTATTTTTATAATGTCTTGATTTCCCATTAGCAGGCATTTTACTATGTTTCCTCCTCCCTAGTTATCCGGGAATATGAAGAACAGAAAAAGCATCCAGGAGCCTAGATTTGATTATTACAGCCATGAACTTCCTGATATTGACCTCAGTGAATGTGAATTCCCACATGTCATTGAAATTTATGATTTTCCTCAAGAATTTCGTACAGAAGACCTTTTGCGGATTTTCTGCAGTTACCAGTAAGTATTTATTTGCAGGTGGTTCCAAATGTTAGATAGTGTGAGAGAAAGTCTTCTTAATAATTTAAAAAAAATAAATCTTTTAAAATTTTTTTAGCAATTTACTTAAGTCTTAAGTTAACACTGGGTTTGTATGTTGTTCAGATCAGTTATAAAACCTGTATTTCAGACTAGTCTTCAGTTTTTTAAAAGGTAGCTTTTGTAGATCCTGTTGTAACTTTACAAAGATCACTGTTGGTGATGACCTCTTAAGTCTAGCTTGGTGGTACATTTAGTCCATTTATAGTTATTGTAATTATTGGTGTATTTGAACATTTCTACTCCTGTTGTCTCTCCTGTATATACTTCTTTTTTTTTTTTCTTGACTTACAGGTTGACTTTTTTCACATTTCATTTCTTAAATGTAATCTGTTTCTGTTCTTTGATGGTTACTCTAGAAATTATAAAAATGTGTGATAAAACTTTTTTCCCCTCTTTCTAAATACTACAAGATCTTTTTAATTCCATATATTTTACACTCAACTTATACACTGTTTTCTTCTTATGTTTTACTGGTAATAAACTCTGGTGTGTGTGTGTCTCTCTCTCTCCTCTCCTCCTCCTCCTCCTCCTCCTCCTCCTCCTC